ATTTATTATATATAATATTATATTTTTTTATATATAGTTATACTTTATTTTCCAATCTGCTCTCCATCTAAACACACTGATGCCTCAATGATAATTTTTCTTGAATCCTCTCCACTTGAATACATTCATGTTAATAATAATTATATTTTATTTTTAAATCTTCTCTCCACCTGAACACACTGATGCCTCAATAATAATTATTCTTAAATCTTCTCCCCACCTGAACACACTCCTATTAATAAAAATTATACTTTATTCTTAAATCTGCTGTTCACACTCTGATGCCTCAATCACAATTGTACTTTATTATATAATATATATATATTTATTGTATATAATATATTTTTATATATATAGTTATACTTTATTTTCAAATCTGCTCTCCATCTAAACACACTGATGCCTCAATAATAATTTTTCTTGAATCCTCTCCACTTGAATACATTCATGTTAATAATAATTATATTTTATTCTTGAATCTTCTCCCCACCTGAACACACTATTAATAAAAATTATACTTTACTCTTAAATCTGCTGTTCACACACTGATGCCTCAATCATAATTGTACTTTATTATATATATTTATTTATTATATATATTATATTTTTTTATATATAGTTATACTTTATTTTCAAATCTGCTCTCCATCTAAACACACTGATGCCTCAGTCATAATTATTCTTGAATCCTCTCCACTTGAATACATTCATGTTAATAATAATTATATTTTATTTTTAAATCTTCTCTCCACCTGAACACACTGATGCCTCAATCATAATTGTACTTTATTATATATAATATATATATTTATTATATATAATTTATAATATATTTTTATATATATAGTTATACTTTATTTTCAAATCTGCTCTCCATCTAAACACACTGATGCCTCAATCATAATTATTCTTGAATCTTCTCTCCACCTGAACACATTCCTATTAATAAAAATTATACTTTATTCTTAAATCTGCTGTTCACACACTGATGCCTCAATCATAATTGTACTTTATTATATATAATATTATAATATATTTATATATATAGTTATACTTTATTTTCAAATCTGCTCTCCATCTAAACACACTGATGTCTCAATGATAATTTTTCTTGAATCCTCTCCACTTGAATACATTCATATTAATAATAATTATATTTTATTTTTAAATCTTCTCTCCACCTGAACACACTGATGTCTCAATCATAATTACACTTAATTTTAAAATCTTCTCTGCACAAACACGAATCAAATTAAACACAAATCTTGTGTTTAATTCCAAGTTTTGGCTTATAAAAAACCCAAAGTTCTGAGGGTTTTTGGCATTTTGGGTTCCAGCACAGTGGATGTGGCACTTGGGGAGTGCTGGGAATGGTGGGATCCAGATCTTTCCCACCCTAAAGAATTCCATGATTGCAAGATCTTGTGGAACAGAATAAGGAAAAGTTTTGTACCTCTTTTTAGTGGTTTTTCCTATGAAAATCACTTTTCAATACTTTTTCCTGCAAAAATTAAAATCACTTTTAAAATCCCTTTTCCTGCACATTTCCCAGAAGACAAAGATGGAGAATTCCTGCAGGATCTGCTCCACCCTCACCAACTGCTGCTACGTTATTTCTTCTCTATCCTAACCTCTAAAACTTTATTTATTTTAATGTGCCTTTGCCCTAAACTATAAATCTGAATTCCTGCTTTTAAATTTGGAATTTTATTCTAAGGTCTCAGATAAACTCTTGTGTTTAATTCTAAGTTTTGGCTTATAAAAAACCCAAAGTTCTGAGGGTTTTTGGCATTTTGGGTTCCAGCACTGTGGATGTGGCAGTTGGGGACATGGGTGGCCTTGGCAGTGCTGGGAATGGTGGGATCCAGATCTTTCCCACCCTAAAGAATTCCATGATTGCAGGATCTTGTGGAACAGAATAAGGAAAAGTGTTGTACCTCTTTTTAGTGGTTTTCCCTATGAAAATCCCTTTTCCTGCACATTTCCCAAAGACAAACCTGGCATTTTGAGGTGAGGATGTGCAGGACTCACCTGAGCAGCCCCAGCACGCAGCCCTGCTGCCCCTGGGTGATGGAGAATTCCTGCAGGATCTGCTCCACCCTCAGCAGGGCTGAGGGCTCCCTCCTCAGGAACCCCTGGTACAGCTTCTTCCAGGGGATGAACTGGAATGGGAAAACAGGAATCACCTTGGGGCATTCCAGAGGGGAGCCAGGGGAAAGGGAGAAATCAGGGATTGGAGTGGAAACACAGGAATCACCTCGGGGCATTCCAATGGGGATCCAGGGGAAAGGGAGAAATCAGGCAGGGCATGGATGATTCCATGGGAAGAATGATGGGATTTAAAGGAACAAAGGGAAGCAAAGGATGGATGATCCCATGGGATGATCCCAGAGCATTCCTCATTCCCACAGATCTCGGATATAGGGCAACAACTTTTGGTCCAGAAGACCAAATAAAAAATGGAAAAATGGCAGAAGACCTAAAAATTCATGGATTTTGTGAAGAATGATGGGATCTAAAGGAACAAAGGGAAGCATGGATGATCCCATGGATTTATCCCAGAGTATTCCTTACTCATGGATCTCGGATCTTTTGGTCCAGAAGACCAAAGAAAAATGGCAAGATATCTAAAAATTCCTGGATTTGGGGAAAAATGATGGGATTTAAAGGAACAAGGAGGCAGACAGAGCATGGATGATCCCATGGGATAATCACAGAATATTTCTTTACCTGTGGATCTCAGATTTTGGATATAGGACATCAACTTTTGGTTAAAAGAAAATGGCAGGAGACCTAAAAATTCCTGGATTTGGGGAAGAACGATGGGATTTAAAAGAACAAGGAGGCAGGCAGGGCATGGATGATCCCATGGGAAGAATGATGGGATTTAAAGGAACAAAGGGAAACAAAGGATGGATGATCCATGGGATGGTCCCAGAGTATTCCTTACCCATGGATCTTGGATCTTTTGGTCCAGAAGACCAAAGAAAAGTGCCAAGATATCTAAAAATTCCTGGATTTGGGGAAAAATGATGAGATTTAAAGGAACAAGGAGACAGGCAGGGCATGGATGATCCCATGGGAAGAATGATGGGATCTAAAGGAACAAAGGGAAACAAAGGATGGACGATCCCACGGGATGATTCCAGAACGTTCCTCACCCGTGGATCCCGGATTATCTCCCTCCAGCAGCGACACACCAGGCTCAGGTTCTGGTACAGATCCACAACTGGCAGGAAAGCAAAAATATTCCTGAGGATTTCAGGAGGGAGATCCTCCATGGATCCCTGAGGAAGCTGCCAGCTCCGCGTGCCCAGCAGCCCGAAGTGGGGATCGGGAAGGGGCTCCACCTCCAGCTCCTCCCATTCCTGCTGGATCCCACCCAGCTCTGGGAGTTTCTCCTCAGGTTCCTCCCAGAGCTCCTGCTCGGCTTTGGGAATTGCTCTTTTCCTGGAATGTGCCCTGGGAGGAGGCAGGGAAGGGCAGGGCTGGCTGAAGGAAGCAGGAGCTCCAGGGGAAAAGGGATCCAGGGGCTGCTCCTTGAGCCCGCGGCTCCTCGGCATCCCGGCGCCTCCCGCTGGCGGCGACTTCAGCACCCCAAAGAAATCCGAGATCTTCCTCTGCTGGCCCGGGGCTGCACAAAGGGGAAAAGTGGGAATGAGGAAGGATTTGGGGGTTTGGTGGCATTGCAGGCTGGGCAGGGAATGTTCAGTGGGAAGGGAGCTGGGTACAGAGAGGATTGTCAGGAAAATGGGTCTGAATCCCAAATCTCCCAGGAATTCAGGGTGGGTTTGCCGGGGTTTCTGCTCGGCCACAGCTGTGGAGGCAGCAGGATTTGGGCAAGAAAATTAAAACAAAAGAATAAAAAAGAAAATAAAAAAATAAATGAAAAGAAATAAAGTGAAAATAACATAAATATATATACCAACACAAAATAGGAAATAAAATAAAAATAATATAAAATTTTAAAAAGCAAAATTCAATGCAACAAA